CTACGGTAACTTGCTCATCGTACTTGGTATTGTGGTAATTAGTTTTATTTATTAAATTCCTAGCCAAGTGGTACTTAAGGAAAATTGGGTGAAGTAAATTTTAGTCGAATAATTGTCTATTATGTTGTCATGAAATGTCGCGGTGGCCTAGAGGTTTAAGACGCCCGCTTCTCAAGCATGAGGGTGCGGGTTCGAAACCTACCAACGGCAAGTACCAATGTGACGTTTTCAGAGTTATATGTACTTTTTAAGATTATCTACATATTACAGATTATCCACCACTGACAAACGGTGAAGGAAAACATCGTGAGGAAACCTGGACTTATAATTTTAAGTTTGAAATCGCCAACCCGCAATGAGCAAGCGTGGTGATTAATGCTCAAACCTTCTCCATGTGAGAAGAGGCTTTTCCCAGCAGTTCGCAATTATAAGCTGTTGATGATGATATTGTCATGAAAAGTTTATCAAAATTCTTTGAGTTTAATCTTTTGATTACAACAACTTCATACAAATGATCTCGTAACGTTTTTTACCAATGCATAGGTACACATCACAAATTGATTACATTCACTTACAAAAAAGTCAGGCTTATGATAAAACAAACAAACTTTGACATGTACACGGGCTATCTATCACCATACATTGTCACAATGTGATACAATTCACGTGAAATGTTTCACAATACTTTCTGAACTCATAACTCTTGTTGACGCGAAAAAAAACTTGTTTAGATATCTGAAACAGATAAGTTATTGCTTTACGTCTCGAATTTATGTTGCTGTAATGAATCAGGATACTTTTTCATGTTATTCATATATAACGTTTAAAATTACCTAGATTCTATGTTAGATAACAGTATTTTTTAAGCTTAGGTTACATAAGCTGTGTGGGTTAGTTTAGTCGATTACCAAGCTTCACAAAGTATAGCGGGCTCGATTTCCACAGGCAACTCTTTGTTGGATCCACAATTTGTGGGTTTAGGTGTGATGTGTACGTACAATTGTAAATTTTAGAATTACAATTGTACTATTATTGTATTTCATTTTATAAACGCACCTAGGATTCAAGAGATAATCTTTCGGTGGAGCAATGTTTTTTTATTTTAAGAAGACAATTTTTATGTACTCTTAGGGTGCGTCCATATTTAGCGAATGTGCCGCAAATGTGCAGCCTTTTGCAAGCTGCCTGCGAGTTCCACCCGATCATTTAATATTATTATTTATTCGTATAACAATCAACCATTCGTATAACAAACAATCAACTTACATGACTTCCACTAAAGAGGCCCACCAAACCATTGCTATGACTGCACAAAGTGGCACATTCGCGGAATATTCTTCAGATGTGGACACACCCTTACACCTTTGTCTTGCTTCGTTGTCTAGTTATTCTTAGCATTAATTAGTTATAGTTAACGAAACTTGTGAACAGTGTCAACCTGAGTCTTTGTTTTCAAAATAGTCTTTGTCTTCCCAAAATAGAGGTGAGAACTACAGTAAAAGACCCATGAACAATATCAACTACTAATGTAAGTTGCAAGGGCAAAACTCCATTCTCGTTGGGGTCCCAAGAGGGTAAGTAGCATACCCTGACATGGACGCACCGCCATAAGGAAACTCGACCTGTGTAAAATTAATGCACTTACACAAATTAATTAAAATTGGACCTCTGTGTGGGTAGTTGCGAATATACCTGTTAGATTGTGGGTATGTGGCTAACTTAGAATTGTCCACAATATTAACGATACATAGAGGTATAATAAGTTTGGAAGACTGCCATAACATTTCGTAGGGCCGATTTTTCCAATGCCAGATTAATTTTAAATGAAGTTAACTTTGAACATTTGACAATTCTTCCATACTAAAAACTGTTTATGTCAATTTTATTCTATGGTTAAGAGTTTTTTTTTATAAAACGTTGCCTCACATTAGGATTTTCTCCTGTGTCGTGGGTGCGTTTACAAACATACAAGTTCACATACACAATGACACCCAGACCCGAAACAACAATTTGTGGATCACACAAAGTGTTGTTCCGTGCAGGAATCAAACCCGCGACACGTTCCACGGCAGCCGGTTGCCCAGCCACCGCACCAACCGTGCAGGCAGTTAACTGATGAGTGATAAATCGGGTTTTAGTAGATTTAAGTCTAAGACATTATATTATTTGAATGACAACAACAGCTGTTGGTAATCATACTGATAGCAACAGATAGTGTTACGATTGAAATACCTACCTTTAAAATCTAGTACTCGCTTTTGTGATACTAAAGGTTCTAGGGTTTAATTTTCAGTTCGATAAAATGTTATCGGACTTTTCTACTTCTCACATTCTCATTTGACAAAGCTTGCAAACTAAAAATAGATTTGGTGACCCCTGCATATCGGAACAAAGATTTTTACAAGTAGCTTTTCCGTAAACACTCCTCTACCTACCCTCGGGAACTGGCGTGATGTTATGTATTTTCACGCAAGGTTATATGCACATACATACCCTTCGTCCCTCATATAATATCTATATATGTATACATAGGAAGCTATAAAGGGCAAAGGTAAGGTGTGATGGTTAAGATGCGTCCCTTGAAGAGCACTTATGTCTTGTTATAAAATTGTTATGTATTCCTGGCGTATAAATGTGTTCAGGAATATAGATGGAACGGCTATTAATAATTTATGAGTACTATTTTTAGATTAAAATATAGTGTACACGTAAGATCTGCTTTTCTCCAGTATATAGTGAGTCACATAAAGTGATTTGAAATTTGTTGGACTAGAGAATTGAAGTGGAAGCCTTGCTTGAAAATCAGGCTAGCTTTAAATGAATTAATATGAATAAAACTATACCTTTGTTACTAAACATAAATACTTGATAACACAGCCCAATTATAAATGAATAATACTCTAAAAAAGTAACTAAACAAACCACAACTCTGTACCTTTTCCTTACAGTACCCAGCTGTTTAAACAAAACAACCTCGACCGGTCACTGTTGACTTAACCGCGGTTACTTTAGTAAACACATAGTTTAGTTTCTCTACACAAAAAGGTAAGATATTTTTTCTGTTTTTCTTCCCTTTAAGTATTCTTTGTTGCGTTATTTTCTTTGTTTTTTGATAAAGAAGAACGTTTGTGCACATTTCCTTGTACAAACGATTAGATGGTTACTTTGTGGGACTAAGCGATCTACCTTTTGTTGTTAATGTTTTTGAAAGCCAAACCGAATTTCCGATTATCAGAAAATGGGAGGAATAGATGAATAGAAGACTGACCTTTGATGTTCGGATTGCAGGTCCATGATAAATGAGATATATTTTATGAAATAACTTATTAGGAAGGAGGAAAAGAAAAGAAAATAAATATTTTTACCTGTAAGGTAATCGAAATGCAGCAATAATAATCTATTTTACCCATATAATAGTTATCGTGTGGCATAAGTACTAACATACTTGCTGAGTCATCATAATAATAAAGCTAGTTTATCAATCAAGGATAAGAAATAAATGAAAACACTATAAAACTACTAAGAGATTTAAGGAACTATAAATTTAAAACAATGAACTCTAAAAAATATAGCAACCCTTTAGAACCGACTAATCAGTACAGTATAATATTATCATTACGTTTATTTCTGAGGATGTAAATGTGAACTTAAATGTAACACACCTTTGTTTTGAGAGGGAAAATCATCCAATTACTTCTTCCACCCGGGTGAGGCAAGAGGGAGTGTCAGACTCTTACTGACTAAACACTGTACTTCGACCCGGAGCCCCGGCAACCCGTAAGTCCTCCGTGGCTCCGTTTCGGTATCAGTCCTAGTGGGCCCCATCTGTGGTGGTCTGATGACTCCTTGAGGCGCGCGCGGAACGCGACGCACCGTACGCTCAAATAGTAACACAGCCTGGCAATTACTTTGTCCTTGAAGCTATTCCAATGCCCGGTCATAACAAGTTACACGGCTTGACAAACAGATTGAATATCATACTATGGTTATCAGAAGGTATAGGAAAGTTGGTTAAGTGTGTGTGTGTGTCTATTTAGTAAGTGGTTGCTATGGACTTATTTTACGAATTTGATCGCAATGAAAATATAACATAATTGAGAGTGGTTGCTATGTACTTTAAATATATGTATTATGTGAATTGAAAAGTAGAACGGACAAAAGCGAAAAAATAATTTAGTCTATAAGATGTTTTGTCAAATACGTGAATAATCACCAATGGAAGGTTGTCTACGAGATTGTAATGCACCTTTCAAAAGTAACTGTTTGGTGGCAAGCGATCTTTGTATAACTTTGGATTTTTAACCGACTTCTATTTTGAATAAACAATGTCTATGTAATGTAATGTAAATATTTGTAACTAATAATAATATACTAGCTGTTGCCCGCGGCTTCGTTCGCGAAGAATATGAATTTTAGACCACCATAACCTTTCTTGTTTAAATTTTTCAAAATCCAAAAAAGTAGCATATGTTACTTTGAAATAAATCGTCTACCAATAGAAGTCTTGAAAAATCGGTCCGGCTATTCCAGAGATTAGCGCACAAACAGACAGACAGACCTACAAAAATTGTAAAAATAGTTTTCTTAGTATGTGTATCCTATGTATATTATATGCATGTAGTAAAAGGCAGTTATTATATTACAAACAGACTACAATTTTATTTACATAACATAACATAACATCACGCCTTTTTATCCTCGAAAGGGTAGGCAGAGGTGCACATTACGGCACTTAATGCCACTGTAATGTAACACCCACTTTTCACTATTTATGTTATGAGTCCCATGTAATAGGGGGTGAGCCTATTGCCATATACCGGGCACAGTTCCAGACTCCGTGCTACCACTGAGAAAAACCCAGTAATACTTTGCCCGACCCGGGAATCGAACCCGAGACCCCTTGCCCGGCAGTCGCACTTGCGACCACTCGGCCAATGAGGCAGACAATTTTATTTTTTAAATAGATATATAGATAACTAGAATTATATGTTTGTTTGCAGGCAATGTGATGGAGGATGGCAATCAAAGGGAGCACATAGAACAGACGGCCGGCGTCATGTAACTCTGTAATATGAATCTCAGTAACTTAGTCTTGTACATCACTAGCCTGCTATGGCTGAACCTCACTGACGCTAAAATAGGTAAGTTATAGTTGAACATTTAGTAATAAATAATGAAAATGCTATAAATTTTATAATGACGTAATTTCTTGTGTTATTTTATCTATGCACCCGTAGCCCCAAAGGACCGCCATAATTTCCAAAAGTGCGCCTCAATTTTCCTTTATCTTTGTACCTAGTTATTTTACTGAATTACCACTAATATTTTGATATTCAATATATTTTTTTGTCGATGCTTTTTTGTCCCATGGATTAAAAAACCATAACCTTATTTAATGTTAAATGAATTTATACTCTTTCATTTAATATTATTTTCATTAATGTCTGCCACCGAGTTGGATTACGAAATGACATTTCTTCTAAATATCTCACAATTTTATCACTAGACTACAAATCCTGACTTCTTTTATATATAACCAGTTTTATATATTCTTTTACTTTTTGCAAGAACTGTCAAATAAGCCGCCTTTGTAGCTACACCGTAGCTTGCTACGGCTACGAGCTACGCTGTCGTAGCCAAACCGCTACACAACTTAAAAATAAAACATTTATGACTTTTTGCCCTCGTAAGTTTCAAAACTTAATATCGTATAATATTTTTCGTTCAAGATTACATAATATTGAAATTTCTTTTAGCTATTTTATGCATGTAATAAGTACCGACCTACATTGGTGGATAATGTCAACCCAGTTTAATTGAATACTGGTGGAAAAACGAGAAATGTGGGCAACATACACAAATGTTGAAAGACATTTCAAATTGAAAAGTAAATTTGACTCGACGTTACTGTCCTTTTTAGAGACGGAATTTATTGAAGCCACATTTCTATTTAGTCTGAGTTTATTCGAATCATTTTCAACTGAAAGGGTCATGTCGGTCAATTTCAATTAACTTCATTCATAAAATTAATTGAAATTAATCTAATTCGTTATTTTTATCTTATTAAATATCATTGGTTTTCGTTTTTATTATAAAGAATATGATTTATGACTTCAATAATTGAAATTAATTGGTATTTTAAAACTTGAGGCGGTTGAAGTCTTATTTTTAAACATAGTTTATAAAAGAATTGTTATGCTTTCAAATTAATTAACATCATTAATTACAACACCGTTAGAATAAAAATTGTAATTGCTATTCGTTTAATCAACAGTCTGTGATAGATTACTGATGAATTATGAGCCCTACATAAGATGAGTTTACTATCATCTCCATACTTGACAAACGGTTTAATGATCGCAGTTAATATGCCTAGGTTCTTCAGAGAGCTATACTACTTAGTTTCTTAGAAATTTTTATCGTATGAAGTCACTTAAGTGTCACTTATATAGTACTAGGATACTCTTTAAAAGAGTTTGTATCGACCGATATATTTCTTCTTTTCGTTTTTTATGGGATAAGCCAGTAAACAAGCACTCGGATCACCGGTAAGCAATCGGCGCCGCGCATGTACAACTCGAACACCAAATCTTGTATCTCCACACGGTCAAAACGAGCCACGTGTACGTTATCAATACAATTCAAGGTCATTCCTTCTTCTGTATGTATCTAATTAAGTTCTATAGAACCAGAAATAAACACGGAACTTATTGAGTAATTATTAATGTTTGATCTTGATCCTTGAAACTAAGGGTTTATTCACTTCAATTTACCAATATGGACATACAGCGTCTAGTGTTCTATAATACGTCAATCAAATAAAATTATAATATGGACAGCAGTAAAAAGCCGTTTTATTGAACACAAATAAAACTACTGAGTCACACGTTTTCCAGATTATTTACAGCAATTGAGCACACGCATATCGTATTGACTAAGTTTTATTATAAACTACACATATAAAAATTTATTTTAGCGTTATAAATATCACAAAATAGGGGGTAAGAGTACCGGGCACTATCCCATATTCCATATTGCTAGTGTTAGATTTTCAAATAAATTGGACAGAATCTACAACGCAGGAATCAAACCCAGGATCCCATATTCAGAAGTAACAAAAGCGAGCACTTTTAGTTCCTAGCTGGTAACTAGGCAGTCATTTAATACATCGGTATAAGTACGTACCCATCAGATGAAAGACTGCACGTCTTTGCCAATATTGTCTCTATTACAACGAATTTCATTTTGATAGAATTTCTGTTAAAATTCTATCTTCTTTAATACACCTTCATTTTCACTTAAATGTAGGTACTTTCTCTTGTTCATATCAAAACTTTATCTATCAATCACTTGGCATCTATCTAATCTGTCCGGCTTGTCAGTTTTCTATTCTCTCATGACGAGACATTTTTTCTTATAAAGTTTCACTCTTCGTAAAACTTATCTATTATAAGAACAATGGACAAAACTTTCATCATTCATTTCGAAAATGATAATATGAAATAAAATAATTAAACTGTCAAACACCAAGCGGTCACCGGTGACCGCAACCTATTGTTCTATAATTGTGTCTACAAAACCGGTACTCGACGAGTTAATATAACTTTAACTAGAACTCAGAAATAGTTCACAAAAATAACTGTTGAGCTAAAAATATACAACATTTATTATGCTGAAGAAACTTTCCTAGAAAAACTAACCCATAATTTTGTTTCAGGGTACTTTTGGCACATCACAGATCTTCATTATGATCCGTTTCACAACTCCCCAGAGCTACATAGAGGTACTTTATGAAACATACAGTTGTTTTATGTTGATTATATTATTTCAGGCCGTTGACATAGACGCATAAACATTCATATAACATGATAGTAAATTCAAGTAACTTTGATGAATGTCAGCGACTCGTTGTTTTATTTTTGTTTCATGTATAATAATTTTGAATTATTTATTCCTTGCTTTGATGAATGACGGTAATCAGAAACGATATTAATCAATGTATCATCATTGATGTGTCACGTTGATTTATTTGATTGATTGAAAACAAGGCTTATGACGCAATCGGAAACACAATATCTTTTTTTTTATTATTATATTCAGCATTATAATATCACCTATGAATTTTATTGTACGGTTGACGCAATGGCTGGGCGACTGGCTTCACGCACGGAACAACATTTTGTGTGATCCACAGATTGTTTTTTCGGATCTGGGTGTCATGTTGTTGTCAACCTGTATGTGTGTAATTGCACCCACGACACAAGAGAAAATTCAAGTGCGGGGCAAGTGTCTTTTAAAAAAAGCCTCTCTTGCTAATAAAAGTCACTTGAATTTTTGTTTTTTCATCTATCAGGTTGTCGTCACAATCGCGGGAACAATGAACACAGTCATCGGAATGGCAGGCACCGGGATCACACGTGTGACAGCTCCTGGCCTTTGATACAAAGCGCCGCCGCCCTCATGGCGGAGAGGCATCCTGATACATTAGAGTTCGTGCTTTGGACTGGGTAAATCTTTGATATGTGTAATTTAGAAGCTTTATAAATTTAATGTAGAAATATTTGTGATTTACTTACCATGACAATGATTCTATTAATTTTAGATAATGAAGAAATATTACATACGTATTTTATATTTTGTCGTATAACCAAATAATACTTAGATAAAACGAATTAAAGTTTAGGAGTGGGAGCTAAAATTGTCTACGTATAAAATTTACACAGAAGTGACTCACGCGACATTTCAAATTAATGTTATATATCTACTAAATATAGACATACTAAATTAACTAAAAATCGCGGGTTACGCACGTGAATATACTGAGAAAAGCTCTAGTAGTTTCGAACCACAGAGGGGTTCTTTCTCATGAACACTGTGCGCAGTCGCAGCGATGTCACGCAGTCTACTCACAGTCACAATAGGCAGGTTCAGAATATTCACGTGAGAAACCCGCGGTTTTTAGTTTACTTATTATATATAGTCGAAAGTATTCGTCTCTGTAAGAAAATAAAAAATACGTGTATATTGTTTTAAAATAATCTATTAGGCATCTACCCTATTGTACTCACTTGAACTTCATAATAATGTTTCTATAAAAAGTAGAATTGCTGATAGCTATCGTTCAGACAACCTTTAGATACATTAACTTCACATTTGCTCCCACTAGAGACATCCTCTCCTCTTCAATGGAACATTTAAGTGAAGAAATAAAGCTGGAAGCCGTGAGAAACGTCACAGATGTATTAAGCAGAACGTTTAGCAGTCAGTTTGTGTTCCCTGCGCTGGGTCATAATGACCCGGCACCTTCTAAGAGGCTGGTCGACATGTGGATGCAGTGGCTACCTACAGAAGCGTTACAGACTTTTGAAACTAGTAAGTACTAATACTATTAATAATTTACTCAAAGATCTCATTGGCGGTGGCGCGTACAGTGGATTCCCTCGATTCGATTTCGATTGTAGCTCGATTCCCTACAATATGGTTGAGTTGGGTGGTGCTGGTGTACGGGTCATGTTCGTGAACGGGCGCCGTCAACTGGGACTGGTCAGCTCCAGATTGTATTATTGTCCTTAACGTTATTTTCTTTTTTGATCACTTTCACTGGATTTTAGTGTTACATTGTTCTCGCACAATCCAAACAGCAAAAGTATGTAACTAGTATTGTGAACCTGATTGAAAAAGAGTAACCTATGGAGTTTCTTGCTCGTTCTTCTCCATAGGAATCTACACCTTGGAATGAGCAAATAGCTCCACTTTAATATTTTTTGTTGTTGACGTTCAAAAGTTCCATTTCGGCCTAATTGTAATAAATGATTTTGACTTTGACTTTACAATTTTTTTTGTCTTAAGACATTGTGTCTCTTATGTCTTATGCACGGTACCTCAATAAATTACATATGTCTGAAAATTGTCTTCCTATGTATGATGTCTTATGAAGCCTATATCCACAAGATGAGGCAGAGGACATCCACATATATGTTATATGTGAAATGATCTGTCAGATGTATATATAAATTCTCGTATATACTTAAAATCAAAATAACCTTGGTACCCTCAAACTGATAATAATGAGAATTGATTAACCATTTTTCTCGTAGTCCTAAACTGGGTCTAATTTCAACGTCTTGACTCCCTAGTTTGATTTCAGGTGGTTATTATACAATAGAGCAATCCAAGAGCAAATTGAGGATAGTAGTGCTAAACAGCGTACTATGGGCGGGAGGAGCTGCCAGGACTGATGGTCCTCACCGGGGCAGGCAGCAGTGGGAGTGGCTGGAACAGATCCTCAGTAAAGCTAGGAGAAGAAATGAAATGGTGAGTGTTTTACAACAAATATTTTAAGCAAAAATACTGTCCTTGTTTATATTTCGCCTTATTTCTGTCAAATTAGAGTATATGTTTTACAATACCGTGATTTTTGTACTCTAATATGAAGGTACTCGCCGTCGCCAATTTAACAGCAAGTTTAACAGCAAGTCTTCGTCCCATTTTTTTAGTCTTGATTTCACCTATAGTTTAGTTTAAGTATGATAGGAGTATTTTTTTTAATCAAAAGACGAGGTCTAACAAAAAGTTTTTTACCTAAGGTCTACCTAGTAGCTCACGCGGGTCCAGGAGTAGAAGAACGGCACAATGCAGGTAGTTCTTCAGCTGCTGGTGGAGGGGAACTAACTCCTACAGCCAACGCGAGGCTGGTGCATGTCATCCGAGCGTTCAGCGATGTGATTGCTGGACAGTTCTATGGACACCGTCATGCTGACACGTTCAGACTTATTTATAGTGAAGGTACGTTGACTTTCATTTCAGAAGGAGACCTTAAGATTAGTCTTTTAGATAAGAATAATTTTTTTTTAGTATGGTGCCTTTTAAATCTCGTATGAACTCGTTGATCGAGTGATTGGAAGCCAGACAATTTAATCACGGATTCCATTCCCGTCGAGCAAAAATACCCACGTTGCGGATTTTTACTTTCAAGTACTCTTCGTAAATTTGTCTAGTATTACGTAGTCCAGATTGTGCGTCGTTCAAAGGTTACCTTTATTTGAGGTTCATAACATAACTAGAGAAATGTGGGTGTGTGATTGTGTAATATGCACGACCTCTTTGTAAAACAAATGGCATAATAGACCGAAAGTGGGTGTTCTGTAAGCGTAATTCTACCTACTTCTTCAAGGAAAAGCAAACACTATACAAATGACAACTAAGCCTTCTTTTGTGTCACAAAAAATGGCTTAGTTGTTATTTATACATTTCCTATCTTCTAGACGCTTTTCATAGCCTTTTTCTCAGAACGAGAAACTGGGGCATCAATTTTTGAGCTCTTTGTTACGAAGGGAACCGCGACCACGCTTCCGTAGTTGTAAGATTATACGTCTCTTGAACAAAACATTAGGTCGTAGTAATCGATAGCTGTTGGAGAATTTTATTTTCGTGAAGAAGGTACTGTGGACTAGTGGCTTCTTAAATTAGAGTGTTGTAGTGTCGAATAAAAATGTTTTTAACTTTTTCTTAGTTAATTTAGAAATAAATATTCGTTGCAAAAGTATGTATCTCAGATGAACAAAATAGACGTGTACTAACAAAGAAGGAATGTTTTGTACTTAAGAAATTAATTTAACCAAATATATTTTACTCTAACGAGTATAATTAAAAAAAATATTTTTCACTGTCATCACCAGCCTATAAATGCCCACTGCTGAGCAAAGCCTCTTCTCTCACGGGGAAGGTTAGAGCGTTAATCACCACGCTTGCTCAATGCGGGTTGGCGATTTCAAACTTATAATTAGAAATTATAAGTCCAGGTTTCCTCACGATGTTTTTCCTTCACCGTTTGTCAGTGGTGTCTAAATAATCTTAGAAAGTACATATAACTCGGAAAAAATCACATTGGTACTTGCCGTTGGTAGGTTTCGAACCCGCACCCTCATGCATGAGAAGTGGGCGTCTTAAACCTCCGGGCCACCACGACATCATCATTCATCATCATTTTTCACTGTAGTGTACCTGAAAAGTTCAACTTTCAAAACGTTTTCTATCCGAGCAAAATTCATTAGTAAATAATATTAATAAGTTAAAAATGTACGACAATAAGAACATTTAAAAAAAATATTTCTTTTGTTCTTAGGTCGACCAGTATCCTGGGCTTTATTGGCCCCTTCAGTCACACCTAGAGGCGCTGGTAGCACCTCAAACCCAGGATTAAGACTTTATAAGTTCGACTCTAATACCGGAAAGGTAAGGTTCAATTTACATCTACAACTTTTCCAATTGAAAACATAACTATAGAATATTTACAAGTTTTCTCATTACGTAACTACGAGTATTTCTAGGAATTTGGTTAATATTTAATGTACTATTCTTGGATTTCAGGAAGCTTATCTATTAATTATTATTTTATACTTCCTATTTATTTCAATGAAAGTATCAAATAATTAACAGTGTAATATTCTCAGTAGGACTTTTTACAATTTCATTATATGCAAAATTTTGTATTCATTTATTTCTCATTTATTAAGATGAACACAAATATAACCAAATAACAATTTGGAATCAATAATACGATCGCTTTTATATACGAATATTTAGTCGTTCTATATTTTTTTGTACAGGTCTTGGATTATACTCAGTATTACTTAGATGTAAATAATATAAGAGGGGAGGCCCACTGGGCGATAGAATACAACCTAACCCAATACTATGGACTGAGAGAAATTAGCCCGGCTTCCTTGGACGCCCTGGCTGAGAGGATACGGAACCATCATGACCGTGGAGTATTTGCTAAGTGAGTATCTTTCCGTTCGACCAAGAAAATTAATGGAAATACCCCTTTCAAACTGAATACTAGTCTTCAATTTCATGGAAATTAGATTGCCTCGTTGGCTGAGTGGTCTCAAGTGCGAGGTTTTGGGTTCGATTCCCGGGTCGGGTAATGTACTACTGGGTTTTAAAAAAAATCTCAGGAGTTGCACGGAGTCTGGAATGGTGCCCAATATATGGTATTTGGCTCACCCCCTATTACATGGGACTTATAGCATAAATAGTGTAAAGTGGGTGTTATATTGTACAGTGGCATAATATGCACCTCTGACTACCCTTTCGGGGATAAAAGGCTCGATATTATTATGTTATGGAAATCATTACATCTGTTATACAAATTACTGTAAGATATCAATAGTCTGTCATTAAATAATTTTCTTATTGGTTTAGGTATTTAACAGCACTGCGTGTACGACATGCGGCAGACGTCGCAGAATGTGATTCAGCTTGTGTGCACGTCCACTTCTGTGCAATAACGCGCGCAGACTACCACGAGTTTCGCGCATGTGTCCGCAACCCTGCGTCGGCGCTAGCGTCGCGCGCTGCTCAAAATTCGGCGGCCATCTTACTTTACGCAATTTTGATTTTACTAAAATCGTAATATTAAGCTTCCGTGGTTTTCAAACAACCTTTTGTCTAGTAGAATCAGTGTTCAGTTCATTCCTACATTCATGAAACAAAGATCAAACAGCTACATATTAAAATAGGTACATAAATAATCGTGTTTATTTCTTAAAGATAAAATATAAGTTTGATTAATAATATTTATCACAAAGTTCTAATTAATCACAACAGTCGTTTTCCTAAATCATTTTATTTTCGAAGTGACAAGATTAATTGGGAAACTTAGGTACGCCCCACCTAAGTATCATTTGTTTCACCTGAAAGCATTGTCTTGATTATTGTAAAATACATTATCAAACGCTTTAATTTATATAAAAAGTAAAAGAAGATTATGAATCATTATTGAGTGTAATTAGAATTTGTTTATTGTGATCTTCGTCGCTAATTTGATTGTGATAATTGACATTTTTGTATATAACGATAAATGAATCAGTGTAAGTAAATGAAATTAAAACAATTGAAACAATGTTTTTTTTTTAATTTATTTTACCCAGTTGCTTAAGGCTCAGTAGCTCAGTTTTATGTTGTGATAAAACCTAGGTAATCAGAGAGGATAATATTAAATTCATTACAATTCGGGAAGGGGATGTTCGATTACGATTTAGGGTATAAAAAGTAATAGTCATTGTATTTTTATACAACACATAACATAGAACCATATTTCGGTAGTCTAATAGTTAAATATAGTATAATAGTTATATTAGACTACCGAAATATGGTTCTATGTTACGCATACAATATACCTAATTAAACTGTCAAACACCAAGCGGTCACCGGTGACCGCAACCTATTGTTCTATAATTGTGTCTACAAAACCGGTACTCGACGAGTTGATATAGTATTAACTCGTCGAGTACCGTCAATATAGACACAATTATAGAACAATAGGTTGCGGTCACCGGTGACCGCTTGGTGTTTGACAGTTTTTAAACTATTTACTAAAAATCGCGGGTTACTCAGGTGAAGGTCATTCGATGCCTCGTTGGTCAAAGTGATCGCAACGGCGGCAACCTAGCAAGAGCTATCGGGTTCAATCCCTTCGATTATTTTTTTTTAATATTTTTCAACTCCACAAACACCATGCCGGTGCCATGCCATGAGCGGTGCTTATTAAGTGTGTATATCTCCCATTTTCAAATCTCTTAGCAAATGTACTAGCAAGCAAGAAGTTCTATCAATTTATTAATGAGATCCTTAAAGGTTCTTAAGTTTCCACTACTGGCTTCAAAGTACACTTCAACTATTACACAGTTCAGTCAATATCAGAAATGCGGTGATGGAGGCAAAGTCACTGCAATATCTTAATTAATATAACATTTTGAAGACGGAAGGTAAGTTTAGGTTCGAGGTAATGGGAATTGAAAATGTGATTTGTTTTCTATTTTCAAAATTGGTCTGTCGGGAGCTAAATATGTATATAATGGACAGTATTATCTGTACAGATAAATAAAATTGGAGTGTTTGTTTTCGATATTAAAATAATTGTAAGTAACATTTTTTACAGTTTTTATCTGGCTGTCTGTTTGTACTGGCTAATCTCTGGAATGGCTGGACCGATTTTAACGGGACTTTTAGTGGCAGGTAGTTGATATACTAACAACTAATACAGGCTACTGTTATTTTAGAAAATTGAAACAAGAAATTTGTTTTAAAATTCATATACTACGCGAACGAAGTCGCGGGTAATAGCTAGACAGTTAAATGGACAATAGATTGTTATAATTCTATTGAAATAAGTAATATTACATAGATTATTTGTATGTATTTGTTTACTAAGATAATTTAGCCACCACTGACAAACGGTGAAGGAAAACATCGGAACGAAACCTTTATTTTATAGAATACTAGCGACCCGCCCCGGCTTCGCACGGGTGCAATATGCATGTATTATACATACAAACCTTCCTTAAGAATCACTCTATCTATTAAAAAAAACCGCATCAAAATCCGTTGCGTAGTTTTAAAGATCTAAGCATACATACGGACATACAGCGAAAGCGACTTTGTTTTATACTATGTATTGAAGCCGGTAAGCGAGTAGAAGGATCATCCGATGGTAAGCAATCAGCGCCGCCCATGGACACCTGGAATACCAGAGGCGTTACAAGTGGTTATCGGCCTTTTGGGGATTAGGAATTTGAGAATTGTTAGGGTTCAGGGATTGGGGAGATTGGGGAGGGGGTGATTGGGTCATTATAGGTTTGATATCGCCAACCTGCATTGAGCAAGCGTGATGATTAATACTCATTTCCTTACCTTCTCCATGTGAAAAGAGGCATTTAGTCAACAGTGGCCACTTAAAGGCTGTGAAACTGCGAGACTATAATGTTTAAAACTATTCTTCTACATAACATAATTT